GTACGGGCACCAGGAGAAGAGTGACTCTGGGCACCCAGACCATCTAGGGGAGGTAGAAACTTATTGGTGCCTTCGAGCACCAAGAAAAAAGTGACTCCAGGCACCCAAACTTTTGGGTGAAGTCACTCTTTCTTGGAAATCTCTTCCGACATCTCTTGGCATGGGAAGACAATGAATGGAAATGGAATGAGTTCCTCAACTCCCTAATCTCCACAACCCTGCTTAATATTGCGATTTCTCCTATGACTCAAAATCAACCGATTTTTTTTCGAGCCACCGAACAAAGCACCGTATTTTATCTTTTTTTGAATAGGAGGCCACAGAATTCTGTAGCCAAATAAGAGATATCAATGTCATGCGGTAAACTTGACAGCCGACATTAGATCTCTCTACTCCTGTTGTTATAAACACCAAAAAATTAATTGAGTGACAATGCACTTTCAGAAAGGTAGGGATAGATGCTCAAGGTAGATTACCAAGTGATCAGCATGTCTTCTTTTAGGTAGATCAAATGATGGTGTGTTTTCTCAATGGCGAAGAGCTTCTAGCGGACAATCAAGTACAATTTCGTTGAATCCTAGTCACGTATGGCATTGGACGGGCCAAAGGGATATTTTGGTTTGTACCATATTTACTTTATCAACATTATCTTCTCCATTCAACGGTCATTTATCACCGTCGGCTTCTTTTCTGGCATTCTTTACTTCATCATCTTCACCATGCTCATCATCGCCTCTAACGCTACACCTATCTCTCTTCTTTTTCTCTCAGGCGCCAACGTACATGCCCCCAATCCAAGCTCATCATGTTTGTGATGACTTCCAACCTTTGACCTTAGCATCAACCCAATCATACAATGAACTTCAATTGTAGCCTCTCTAATGATATTCTCTTCAACTACCTCTACTCCCTCATCTTTGTCACTATCAATCTTTTTGCGTCGTTGCTGCCACTACCTCATAGGCTCACCCATGCCATGCACATCATCAAACAAGGAAGAGAAGCACGTGAATATTGATCACACATTGATGAAATCTCATGAAGTTAAGATTCCAAGCGACCGTGGGCTACCAAACAACTAAAAAAAGTAGTATCCTTTACACGAAAGGACACAACATAAAACCTATGTCCATTTAGTGATCCACACATACATACTTTACTCAATAACTGCTCTGAGAGGAATCATGAATTAAGCAGCTGCAGCTAGTTTTGGAGGAAAACTCAAATACGAATGTCTCTTTTCTCTTTGCTGATTCTATTCATGTTCTCCATTGCCACCCCCTTCCCCTGGTCGCCGCCACCATGTCCTCTCGCTGTCACCCCCGTCAGCTCCGCTGGCTAGAGAGAAGGGAGAGAGGGCTTGTATCCTCTGCATCCCTTCTTGCATACTCCCTCCGGTCCTTTTAACTCTGCGTATTAGATTGAGAGAAGTGCATAGTTCAACCCTGAACTTTTGCCCTAGTCTAATTTACAACCCCGAACTCCAATACTGTCTCAATTACAACCCCCAACTCTCAAAACCGGCTAGGATTCAACCCTTACCTCTCTGTTGACCGGTTTTGACCAGTCAATAGGTCCAGTCAACATGCCACATCAGCAAAAAATGCAAAATTTTCAATGAAAAGTTTTGTAAAATCAAAGAAAATCCAGGAAAAGAAATAAGAAATCAAATTTCCGAAAAACAGGGAAAATAAAAAACAAATTTCCAGAAAAAAACCAAAAACTCAAATTCCCGAAAAAATTATTTCCAGAAAAAAAATAATTTTTATTTTCCCTAGCTTTTTTCGCAAGCAAAATTTTTAGAATTTTGCTTTTTCTATATTTTTTCTTGATCATACAGATTTTTATTTACAATTTCTTGAAATTTTGAGAAAAAAAATCTGATGTGGCAATGCTGATTGGACCCATTGACCAGTCAAAACTGGTCACCCCAGGTCAAAACCGGTCAACAGGGAGGGGAGGGTTGAATCCTGACCAGTTTTGAGACTTGAGGGTTGTAATTTAGACGGTATTGAAGTTCGGGGTTGTAAATTAGACTAGGGCAAGAGTTCGGGGTTGAAATATGCACTTCTCTCTATTAGATTTGAGTCAGGCCAAACTTTGCAAAGTTTAAGCAAATATATATTAAAAAATTATCAACATCTATCATACCGAATATATATTCCATGAAACTAAATTTCATAATGACTCTAAGAATATTGATTTGGCATTGTAAGTGTTCAGAGATACTAAATTTCATAATGACTCTAAGAATATTGATTTGGCATTGTAAGTGTTGATACTTTTTCTATAAGTTTGGTCAAAGTAGAGATGTTTTGATTTCAGACAAAACTTATATGCAGACTAAAAAGGATAGGAGGGAGTATCTATTTTGTTGACATGGCATGAAGTTGGATGTGGAGGTACTCGCAAAAAAAAGTTGGATGTGGAGGATTATTATGTCAAACGTGGGGGGAATAAATGAATAATCCACCGGGTGTGGCGCAGGCGTAACCTATTGTGGAAGGCGTAATCGTTTTAGTATCTCTGAACTTCTTCGCTGAATCTCTCTGTAGCTATCCCGTGCTCACGTCCGGCGATCGCCGCCGCGGCAACCCCAACTCGCCTCCCCGTTTGTGACGCGGATGCGGCGCCGCCATCGGCTGACGCCGGAGACGAGAAGCATCCTCCCGCCTCATCTTCTCTGCGGATCCAGCCCCCTCGGGCAGCGAGCTGCCTGCGGGGGAGGAGGTGCAGCGTCGGCGGGGCAGGGGGGAGCTGCGGTGGAGGAGCGGCAGGAGGTACAAGTCGCGACGACGGATTCAGGGGAGCAGAGGTGCCGCGGCCCGCGGGCGGTGGCAAGTGCGCGGCATAGTGGCAGAAGGAATGCCTAGCACCCGCCTGGTGCCGGCGGCGGGGGGAGAAAGGGGCGGTGGGGCTCTAGCACCCGCCTGGCGGCCGCCACCACATCAAGGTCGCCGAGGCGGCTCCAGCTCCCTGGACATGCCGCCGACCTGCCGCTCTTTCACTGAAGTAGTTGGTATTGTTCTTGTATCATACTGTTTACTGAAGATTTTTTTTTATGCAACTCACCTCATGCAAAATCACCAGATCCAACTTTACTTGTTTTGACAAGCTGCACAAGAGTTCTGCAACCTGTCTTTTCTAGTTGGGTTGTACAATCTTTGGTTATGGTAAAATACTTGAAATGTGATTAAGAAATAATAATGTACTCCCTCTGTAATTAATATAAGACTAAAGTAGTGATCTAAATGCTCTTATATTAGTTTACAGAGGGAGTACAAAGCTGCCATCGACCGGCTGTAAAGCTTAATCGAGCTCTGTATATTTCTTTATTACCTTTGAATGAAACCTGAGAGGATCAAGCTCCTAAGACTGTTGAGCTGTTATACTTCAGACCAATTTTCAGTGTTCATTCCTTTCTGTGGAAAAGCTCTCCAGATTGTGTTGATTGTTTGGAATGACTAGTGCCGCTTAAAAAAAAAGTAGCATTAGACTTGCTTGGAGTTTCTATTTTTTTTCCTTCTGATTTTTGATCCTCCAATCTGGAACAAACCGCCCCGATGGAGCTCACCTTGGGAGGTCTTGTGTGTGGACATGTAGCTTGATTAATTTGTATACTTTGTGTCAACGATGAAATAACATTAATAAGCTTATGAAGGCCATCCTGGTCAGTTTGTTTAGTTTGGAGATTAAAATGTCTGGAGTTGTACAGTGAATAATATTTGGTTTCGTTAAAGTTACAATCAACTAACGTGCCATAAAGGGTTGCAGATGAAGTAGTATGCTGCGTGGAGTACCACTTTGAGACAGTTTCAGGCAGCAGAAAGATCAGGTTAGTTTCAAGAGAAAAGAAAAATCAGGAGTAGGTTGGAAGAATGAGTCAAACATGACTGCTTTCTTTTTCTGTTTGGAGAGCTCATATGCTGCAAGCTTTCTGGTAAAGCTCAGCTGGATCTTTTGACAAACTTCCGATCCCTAACTTCCAGTACAAATACTTCGGCATCAACAATTCATCAGGTTCTTAGGTGATATAACATAGACAAGCAAAGACGCTGGAAGTTCTTGTTACTATACCTGAGTAATCGCCTAAGTAAAACCATCGTTATAGTTAACAATTGGATGCTGCATAAAAGAACCTGAGTAATTTTTTGCTAATAGTAAAGCGAGAATCAAGCAGATCAGGCCAGAGAAAACATGAGGGGGTCCCTGACTTAGACCATACTAACACTGAGAAAATTGAATTAAAATCAAAATTTGTCAATGTAATATACCTAAAAACCCATGGATGGATGGATGATCTGATAACTAAGATTGCACTCTAAAATCCCGCTCAAATAACTGTTGCTTCACGTAGTGGAGCTTGAAACCGTCTTTGTCCTCACTACATATTTAGTACTACCTCTGTTTCTAAAATTTAGGAACACAGGGTGTATTTTGCAACTCCTTTTTGATTCTCCTTTCAGTGTGAACCTAATTGAGAAAAATATAAATGACAGGAAAAGGAAGAATCTTTCTAAACATAAGGACTTATTCGAGGTGATAGTACTACACTTTTTTGTAATGAAATACTACAAATCGAGCCACTTGTTACTATCTAACTGAATGCTGCTGTTGCCATCCTGTACTGTCTTAACATACCTGGCCAAAACTAGGGACGAATGAAGACAAGGTTAAGCATGTAGTAAGTTACTAACTTGCATGTTCATAGTAAGATGTACTCTTTGCCCTTGTTCATAGTAAGATGTAGTCTTTGCTCTTGTTTCCCACTTACACATATCTGATGCTTGCATACTTTTATTTTCTTTTGAAAGATTGTTATGCTTTATATGAAGTATCATGCTGCATGGAGTACCACTGTGAGACAATTTCATGTAGCAGAAAGGTCAGGTAATCAGGTTAGTTTCAAGAGAGAAGGAGACAAGAGCAGGTTGGAAAAATGAGGCAAACAAGATTGTTTCAAAATTCGTCAAGGTAAAATACCTAGAAATCCTATGAATGGATGGCTGATCTGATCCTTTAGTACTCTCCCCAAATCACTAGAAAATTGCACTGCAGAATCTCTCTCAAATAATTGCTGCTTCGTGGAGTAGAGCTTGAACCTCACTACATATTTGTACTTTGCAATGTAATACTCCTTTCAGTGCGAACCTAATTGAGAAAAATAAAATGAGAAAAAGGGAGAACCTTTCTAAACATAATGAATTATTGGAGGTGCGATTACTATGTTTTGTTTTGCAATGAGATACTACAAATAGAGCCAGTGGTTACTATATCTAACTGAATGCTGCTATTGCCATCCAAATAAAGTCTGTACTGTCTTAACATGCCTGGCCAAAATGAGGGATGAATGGAGACAAGGATGATCATGTAGTAGAGGCAACTAGTAAGTCACTGACCTGTATGCTCTTCCTGTTCGTAATAAGATAGTCTTACTCTAGCATCCCATTTACTTGAAGCTCTAAGAAATTGTTGCTTGATGGAATGGAGATTGAAACCGTCTCCATTTTCCATATCTATTTCTGTGATTTCAACAACGAGTCATTAGTACGCATTTTTCAACGTAACATTATCGTGGACATAATTGTGGCAAGTGTGCTTAAAGAATGGCCTAGACAGAATGGGAACCTTTCTACTCTAACATTCTGGGAAACTCTAGTGCGGCACTAGTAGTGCAGTTTGTTCATTACGAAAGGCAGGGGTATATATAATTTTAAGAAAAGATAATTATACCTATGTACCTGCGGCTGACAGAAATTGCTAAGCCGGAATACACATGACTTGAGAAGAAAATCAATGTTAAAAACCCGCAAAAAATGCGTAAGAAAAAGAAACTAAGGCACGCAAAGCAGTGGAGGAGACTAAGCTCGGTAGCCAACGGCTATAAATACCTCACCACCTTGTTCGCACCATCCAAAGAAACACAGAGTTCCAGCAGAGACGTGAAACCCCAGAGTGCTCCCACCATGGCTGCCATGTGGTCTCGGATCATCGGTCTCCTCCTCCTGCTCCCACTCGGGCCCTCCTCCGCCATCAAGTTCCCGCTCATAGGCAACGTCTACCCTGATGGGTATGTTTCTCTAATCCCTTATCAGACTTGAGGTTCTCTCCGTATATTTGACACTCTTTTCTGTACCTCTGCAGCCACTTCTATGCTACGTTGCAGATTGGTCACCCCTTGAAGCCCTACTTCCTGGACATCGACACTGGCAGCAACCTCACTTGGCTGGAGTGTGACCTCCCACATCAGCGCTGCAAGGGCTGCCACCCGGTAACAACACTTGATTCTGCAATATCACATATTATCTTGCAGTTGTAATGCTCTGTGCTTAATGCCGCATTTTTAATCCAAGGATATTGGTAAAGAATGCACTACATAATCTTGGCATGGTTGATCTTTGCTTTGATATGTGCTTCGTTTTGCCAGAGGCCAGCACACCCACATTACAAGCCAGCAGCTCATAACTTGATGGTGAGATGTCACAGCTGGATATGTGCTGAGCTACGCAAAGACCTGCCTGGTAGCCCTAAATGCCCCAAGAACGATCCAGATCGATGCCACTACGACATCCAGTATGTCTCCGGGAAGTCAAAAGGTGTCCTTGTCAACGACATGATGTTTATCAATGGGAGAGATGATAAAAACTGCTTTTTCGGGTATGGCGCTAACTGAAGTACTAATGTTGCGTGTTCAGTACCTACTGGATTTGGATGTTGATGATGCATGGTCACTCTCGTTTTGCACAGATGTGGATACGAGCAGGAGGAACCAGTAGATCAGCCATCGCCGCCGCCTGTAGATGGCATCCTTGGACTTGGAAGGGGAAATGTAGGATTTGTCGCGCAACTCAAGGTGCATAACAAGATAACCAAGAATGTCATTGGACATTGCCTCAGCATCCATGGAAATGGGAACCTATACATTGGGGACTTCAGGCTGCCCGATGGCCACATCACCTGGGTACCCATGAGTAGATCATTGTAAGAATTGTTGCTCATGAAGTTCTTGTTTGTGATCATGTCTTTCATTTTTAGATTTTGGTTTCCGTGCCCATGCTAGCATTGCATAAATCTAACATGTGTAGTTTGAGAAGACTACGGTTGATAGTTGTTTTCTGTTCAATTGGTTCCTAACATTGTACCATCGTTTTTTCCCAGGCCTTACTACTCACCTGGCCCAGCAACACTGCTCTATGACAAACATCCGATAAGAGATAATCCAGCATTTAATGTAGTATTTGACAGTGGCTCCACCTACACTTACATGCCTGGCCAGATATACCATGACCTTCTTTCAAAGGTAAGTAGATTTCAAACCACTCTGATGCCCATACATTTGAACAGAGATACTCATGGCATTTGAATCTTTCAGGTTCAAGAGACTCTCCGAAAATCACCACTTAAAAAGGTTTATGATCCTGCTCTGCCTCAATGCTGGAAAGGAATAATGCCATTCAGATCTGTCGACAATGTGAAGAATGAATTCAAGGCACTGTCGCTAAAAATTACCCATGCCCATGTGTAATGCCCCAGATATACTTTCCCTATTTGTACTCCAACTCTTGCCGTCTCCGGCGCTAAGTTATATTTATTTCTCGGGTTCGGGTCCTTGTCTCCGTGTGTTGTTTTCGTTTTCGTGCATCTCTTATCATGTCATCACGTGCATTGCATTTGCATACATGTTCATCTCATGCATTCGAGCATTTTCCCCGTTGTCCGTTTTGCATTCCGGCGCTTCGTTCTCCTCCGGTGGTCATTTCTAGTCTTCTTTCGTGTGTGGGGTTTAAACATTTCCGGATTGGACCGAGACTTGCCAAGCGGCCTTGGTTTACTACCGGTAGACCGCCTGTCAAGTTTCGTATCATTTGGACTTCGTTTGATACTCCAACGGTTAACCGAGGGACCGGAGAGGCCTCGTGTGTGTTGCAGCCCAACACCCCCCCCAAATTTGGCCCAAAACCCACCAAACTCTGCTCCATGTCCTAGAGCGTTCGATCACGATCGTGTGGGCGAAAACCGCACCTCATTTGGACTCTCCTAGCTCCACTTATGCCTATTAATACCCCCTCCATTCGGATCTCTTCTTCCCCCGTCCGAAACCCTAAAAAAAAACAGATCCTCGTCCTCCACCGCGCCGACGGACGTGTCCGCCCCCGGCCGGACAACGTCCGCCGCCGCCCCCCTCAGCCAGCCGGGTCGCGCCACGTGGCACGGACCACTTCGCCGCGCCGCCGAAGCCCGCCGGCCCGCGGGAGGCCCGCCCCTCGCCCCCACG